GTCTGCTTATACTGATCATAGACCATATTCTAGAAGTTACTTTTCACTAACCTGAAACTCTGAGGTGACCTTGTTAGATTGCCGTTTAGTAATTTCTCTTGCTTTCTTATCGTCCTCCATCCTCCTTCCCTCACAGATTTTGGTAGCTTGAAGATTTTGTTAATTATAATTTTGGTGTATTTGTTTGCTAGCAACAAGTATTCTTGCCCCAGCTGCTTTCCTCTTTAGGCCTGGTTGGGAAAAAGCAGACTTTGCATGAAGCTTCATTTGTTAGTGATCATCTTTAATTTGACATCTGTGAAGAAAATCAATTTATTCTATTATATTTATGTACCTTAATTATTTCCTGAAAGTTATACCTACTACTTTTGTTTGATAATAAGAAAATAGCCATACGTTGTATTTTGGTCTAAGGATTATCTGTGGCCTATTAAACAGAACAAATGAGGCAAAAAAAAAATTATTTTTTCAAAAAAAAAAAAATATATATATTAGCTAAAATCTAATAAACTCCACTGAAGAAAAAAAAGGGGGAGGGGGCAAAGGGAATGATCAGCTTGGAGCCTGGAAAAGGGGCATTAAGAATAAGAATGATGACTCTTAGATGAAAACATAGGCAGAACACTCTATGACATAAATCACAGCAAGATCCTTTTTGACCCACCTCCTAGAGAAATGGAAATAAAAACAAAAATAAACAAATGGGACCTAATGAAACTTCAAAGCTTTTGCACAGCAAAGGAAACCATAAACAAGACCAAAAGACAACCCTCAGAATGGGAGAAAATATTTGCAAATGAAGCAACTGACAAAGGATTAATTTCCAAAATTTATAAGCAGCTCATGCAGCTCAATAACAAAAAAACAAACAACCCAATCCAAAAATGGGCAGAAGACCTAAATAGACATTTCTCCAAAGAAGATATACAGACTGCCAACAAACACATGAAAGAATGCTCAACATCATTAATCATTAGAGAAATGCAAATCAAAACTACAATGAGATATCATCTCACACCAGTCAGAATGGCCATCATCAAAAAATCTAGAAACAATAAATGCTGGAGAGGGTGTGGAGAAAAGGGAACACTCTTGCACTGCTGGTGGGAATGTGAATTGGTTCAGCCACTATGGAGAACAGTATGGAGGTTCCTTAAAAAACTACAAATAGAACTACCATATGACCCAGCAATCCCACTACTAGGTATATACCCTGAGGAAACCAGAATTCAGAAAGAGTCATGTACCAAAATGTTCATTGCAGCTCTATTTACAATAGCCCGGAGATGGAAACAACCTAAGTGCCCGTCGTCGGATGAATGGATAAAGAAGATGTGGCACATATATACAATGGAATATTACTCAGCCATAAAAAGAAACGAAATTGAGCTATTTGTAATGAGGTGGATAGATCTAGAGTCTGTCATACAGAGTGAAGTAAGTCAGAAAGAGAAGGACAAATACCGTATGCTAACACATATATATGGAATTTAAGAAAAAAAAAATGTTATGAAGAACCTAGGGGTAAAACAGGAATAAAGACAGAGACCTACTGGAGAACAGACTTGAGGATATGGGGAGGGGGAAGGGTGAGGTGTGTTAGGGCGAGAGAGAGACATGGACATATATATACTAACAAACGTAAGGTAGATAGCCAGTGGGAAGCAGCCGCATGGCACAGGGAAACCGGCTCGGTTCTTTGTGGCTGTCTGGAGGGGTGGGATAGGGAGGGTGGGAGGGAGGGAGACAAAGAGGGAAGAGATATGGGAACATATATATATGTATAACTGACTCACTCTGTTATAAAGCAGAAACTAACACACCATTGTAAAGCAATTATACTCCAATAAAGATGTTAAAAAAAAAAAAAGAATAAGAATGATGGAAAAAACCTTTAAAAAAAAAAAAGAATAAGAACGATGGGCTTCCCTGGTGGCGCAGTGGTTAAGAATCCGCCAGCCAACGCAGGAGACAGAGGTTTGAGCCCTGGTCCGGGAAGATCCCACATGCCGCGGAGCAACTAAGCCCCTGCGCCACAACTACTGAGCCTGCACTCTAGAGCCCGTGAGCCACAACTACTGAGCCCCCATGCCACAACTACTGAAGCCCACGCGCCCAGAGCCCGTGCTCTGCAACAAGAGACGACACTGCAATGAGAAGCCCACGCACCGCAATGAAAGAGTAGCCCCTGCTCGCCGCAACTAGAGAAAGCCCACGCATAGCAACAAAGACCCAACGCAGCCAAAAATAAATTAATTAATTAAAAAAAAAAGAATATGAATAAGAATGACACAGTGTTTATTTCAGCGCTTCTAAAGAGTGACACAGAATCTGGAAGTCAGAAGTGTTCTGGTTTCAGAGAGGTGGGGCAAGAAAAAAGCTTTCCTAATGCTTGGATGGCATATTCCCCCCAAATTCTTTGTTCTGATTCCACTATGCCTTACGAGTTCAGATTGCCAGGAATCATAATACTAGAAAGGGATGGCCTGGATTTGAGACATAAGTATTCCAGACACTGGAATAAAGTTTCCCTACTGTAATAGCAAGTTTCCATTCTAGAGTATCCATCAGTCTCTTATGAGCTTAGTCATCATAAGTTACCTAGAGCCTCATTAACCCTTAAGCTTGTGGGAGGAAAAAAAAAAAAAATCAACCTTCCATATCTGCAAGGCTGAAAATCAAGTCCTGAACTGTCATGAACCTGGACTACCACTAACAGTAACCCTTACTGGATAGGTGGCCTCTCTAATCAAAACCAGTATATCTGGAACACCTAAAAAGTGAAATCTCAAAGGATTTTTGGACCAGAGGATCCTGTAGTGTTACCACTTAATCCATAGCCAAGAGGTTATAAGGGCAGTCTATGCCCTCAGTCTCAACCAGAACATGGTTGAACCAGAACATGGGTTGAGCCCATGATGAACTCTTGGGCTCAAGAGTTTTATAAGGTACTCCCAGGCTAACACTTCTCTGCTGCTGTTCACCTCAGCACCTAGAACAGTAGGCTCTCAATAAATATTAATTGAATGAGTAACTCAGTAAGGGCCTATCTTTTTGAGATGAAGACTGGTATTTAAATATCTTTATCTCAGATGCTCGATCAGAGTATTTTTGCAGACTGTCCACAATCCTATCAATGTTTCTTCTTTAGGTAGAACTTCAGCATGTCTTCTCAGAGCTACTTTTTATCTACCTTGGTTGCCACGCCATATTCAGCTTGCCTTTCAGACGGCAGCTGGGGTAAACTATTGATGGCAGGTGGGTCTGTATTATAGAACTGCATGTGTTTTAGGGTATCCCTGCATTGCTCTTTCACATGAAGTATGAAGTATGGCTCGCAGATGACAATGGGAAAATTACTGAAGAAGCTAGATGTACAATCTGTGCAAGTCCAAATAAATTACCACTTGGAAGTTTCAACAAAATCTTCAATAAGCTTTAATACGGAGCTTGATACAGTGTTAGTGATATACTTTGCCTGACACAGATATCTTCTGATTCCATTTTCTATTTCTACTTTTATTTACCTTCTGACCCTCTACTGTGCTGTCAGGGAAATGAGAATGTTTGCTTACTGAATGAGTCAGTTTGAAATGAGTTTTTATCTCTGTATTTTGGGAAAGTCACAGCAAACCAGGCCATTCCAAAACTACTTTTCATCTAAAATTTTATAAATTCAGATCAATATTTCAGCCTAAAAGATGTGGCTAACAAATAGCGAAGCTCCTATTACAATCTAAACTGAATATAATCCCTCCACTTCCACCCCTCTTCAGTATACCCAGTATCTAAGGCAATGGACGTTATAGCTGGATACATCAACTTCACACATCATCTTAGATATTTCCAAAAATTAAATACTAACAGATGCCTGACCCGGGAAAAATATTTAATCAGTGAGAAAGACTGTTAACCTCATATCTAAAGGGTATCATGTAAAGCTGTGGAAATAGCAAGAGAGAAGATGGAGTATGCTTATTGGTTACAGATTTTATGTTGGAGAAAGGAGTAGTACAGCAATAGGAGAAGAAATTAGATCCTTTCAATCAGGGTTGTCTATCCCTTACCTTAAACTAGATGCTGGGCACTAACAAGCACATATCAGAGCAGACAGTAACCTCTTTCATTTCTAGAACCACCCCCCGCTCCCCACATCCCCCAAGAAACAGACCAGACTACTGTTGTCCATTTCATAGGGGATTTGAAGAAACTCAAAGACTCACTGTGTCTTTGAGGGCAGGCAGTCAATGAACCGCTACTCCTCTGTATATCCCTGAAAAGTTCCCTACCAGTGAATCCCTCTTTTCTATATACCAGAATTCTCGACCTTACTCAATTATTTTCCTGTATATAAAGAGGCATAATTTTTCAAGGTCTCACACAAACGCAATCTCCTGAAGCACCCAAGAAAGGCCTTCCCTAATATGAAATAAAGCCATTATATAGTGTGGCGGCCAACAATGGATTCCAGGACAGTCCATACAGATGTCACGACAGAATCAATGTCTTAGGATTTCGCCTTCAGAAGGGCTCTCTGGTTCGTTTTCTCTTTAGTTTCTTAAGAAGAGAGACGAGCGACGTGAGGAAATCAGCAGCCCTCCATGTGAGCAGATTCTAAACACAAACAAAAGACTATGATTCTGAGACCAAAATGGGGTCCCTGACCATTGGACCACTTCCTTTGGTGGACGTTCGGCTTTCAGAGGCGCCAGGGAAATCTCATTTAAGTCGGAAAGTGGGGAAAAGCAGAAAGAGAAGCGGTTGGAAGACTCGCGATTCTTGAGCCCAAGCTCTCCCTCTTCCAGGGCAGCAGATCCAAAAGACTATTCCCGCCCAGAGCCCAAAAGAGGAGACGGGGGGTCGTGACACTGGGAGCCTGGGACCGAGCGCAGGGAGCGACTAAAAGCTGCGCGCACACCCCGCCCGTCTCCTTCCCCATCCCGCCGGGACCCGGGAGCATCCCCACGGGGTGGCGGAGCCAGCCCGGGAAAGGCGCTTACCCACTTCCAGGCACAGAGAGCGGTAACCGCTCCAACCCCGACCGCTCGGACAGCTCCTCGCTCTGGGCCGCGCAGCCGCAGCTTCAGCACTCGCGCCCTGCTCCGTCTGATCTCCCCTCACCGCACACCCCCTCTCGGGCCGCCAAACGCCGCAACCCGAGTCCCGGGCCCGAGCCTGTATTTAAAGGTTTCCACCCGAGAAGGCGGAGGCTTCATTCCCCCGCAGCCAAGCCCTCCCGGACTTGGCCCGCCGCTGCATCCCTGCTCCCCCTCCCGCCACTGTAGGCCGGGGCCCGCCCCTATTTCCTGCGGGGCCCAGGGGCGGTGGATGCGGGGGCGTGACTAGTCGTCGCTGGGAGGGGCAGACCCCACCCCCCGGCCGAGCCTGGGCAAATCCGCTCGGGCCAGCTCAGCGGCCCCGCCCCTGCCGCGAGCGGCACTGGGCTGAGCTGTCTGCGCCGCAGGTCGGCGAAAGACCGAGGGCTAGGCTCCAGGTTACGCCTAGGTCAGGTTCTAGTTTCCCGGTATTCCAGAGCCCGCTCTTGCCGTCTGGCCCCCGCTTCCCTCCCTGTGTCCCCATCCTGCCTCACAACGCTGAGGTGGTGCCGCGTGCGCGCCAGGTCAGCCATACTCTGGGGCTGCGGCCTAGGGGGACCGGAAGGTCCAGGCCCCCTTTCCGGTCTCCCCAGCAGCCTAGAGGGCCTGCCTCGTCTTTCGGTCCCCTAGACTCTGTGGATCAGACGTGGCCAGCGGCTTACTCCACTCCCACGCCTTCCGGTCCCATGGGTCCGCCGCACCCTCCGGGCCTGCGGCCGAGGGTTTAGTCAGATTACCTCCGACCCGCCGCTTCTGAGAAGGAGGCGCCTCACGTCAAAAGGATGCTGAGTCCCGTCATGACTGGACCAGTTAGTGATCCCCGTCCTGATCCCTGGGTAGAGAAGTGGGACGGCCCTCCAGGCACATTTTCCAAATACTCCTGCCACATTCGGGATCTGAGATGTCTGTGCATGATATATAGCAGAGAGCATGCAAGATATAAGTGCCGCCTAAGAGGAAGTGAAATTAACGTATGGAGTCTCCCACTTTTAGTGAGAGCAGTTCTGTTCCTGTTTCCCCACTCCAAGGTCATCTTAAACGTCAAATTTAAAGAAAGAAAGCACAGTCATGACTTTTTATTTCCTCTCACTGGATTAAGAATTACATCATCTAGATGGACCTACAGATTATCATGCCAAGTGAAGTAAATCAGACAAATATATGATATTGCTTATATGTGGAATCTAAAACAAAAATGATACAAATGAACTTATTTACAAAATAGAAGTAGACTCACAGACATAGAAAACAAACTTATGGTTACCAAAGGGGAAAGGGGAGGGAGGGATAAATTAGGAGTTTGGGATTAACATATACACACAACTGTATATAATGTAAATAACTGACAAGGACCTAATGTATAGCACAGGGAACTATACTCAAGATCTTGTAATAAACTATAATGGAAAAGAATCTGTAAAATTATATACATACATATATATATATATATATATGAATAACTGATTCACTTTGCTGTATACCTGAAACTAACACAACATTGTAAATCAACTATACTTCAATTAAATTTTTTTAAAAAAATAATTACAGGGACTTCCCTGGTGGCACAGTGGTTAAGAATCCGCCTGCCAATGCAGGGGACACAAGTTCCAGCCCTGGTCCGGGAAGATGCCACATGCCGTGGAGCAACTAAGCCTGTGCGCCACAACTACTGAGCCTGCCCTCTAGGGCCCGCGAGCCACAACTACTGATTAGAGCCTGTGCTCCGCAACAAGAGAGGCCACCACAAGTCCACGCACCGCAATGAAGAGTAGCCCCCACTTGCCACAACTAGAGAAAGCCCGTGCACAGCAACGAAGACCCAACACAGCCATAAATAAATAAATAAATAAATTTTTAAAAAGGGAAAAGCTTTTTAAAAAAAAAAGAACGATACATTCCCTGCCTTCGTAAATTTTACTCTCTATGGGGAACATCAATCACACAGCTACATGTAAAATTATAACTTTATTAAGGAGAGACACATAGTCTTGTGGGAATACACAATAGAAGTATCTAACATAGTAGGTCAGGGATGCTTCTTCAAGTTTTGATAATTAAGCTCCTAAAAGAAACATAGGTATTAACTAGAGGAAACAAAGAGGGTGGTTAGAAGAATAAAAAGGATGAATGTAGGGAGAGCAATTCAGAGCTAATTATAGTCATCAAGAATTAGAAGCAGCATGTCCAGGGTAGTAGTCATGGAGATTTAGAGCAAAGAACAGACTCAAGAGATGATCAGGGAATAGAAGTTATACCCCTCACCCATCCCTCCCATCTCACACCAAGGGTGACACTATCTTGGCTTGACAGTAAAGGTTAGTTTTGCCTTGCACAGATATATTTAAGGAAATCAATTTCTAGCTCAACTTCCACAGGTATTCCTTCCCAAAATTGATCTGCCCAAGAACAGTCCATTTTACAAAAGAAAGACTTACCTTTTACTCAAACAAAACTTACTATGATTCATTATCCGGGGTAAAATTCTGGGTGCCAAACAAAGGGATGAAGTGAATTCTGATTTGGGGGAAGTCTCTTATAGTGATTAATCAAGACACTTCAAATCTCTTTCCTCATTTTATATTTATTTTAAGGCTGAAGTTCAGAGTTAGAAACAGGGCACTTTGGACATTTTCTGAATTCCAAACAGAAGGTGCCATATAAATTTGTGACCTTGATTATTTTAAAAGCAATTTAAGTATTTTGCAGGACTACGAAAATTTTCAAGAGATACTGGATAAAATTGACATGAATAAAATTTACAGGATTTATTCAGTAAAGTATTTCAACTTAGTTATATCAAATCTTAAAATATTTTTTCCACTTGTAGGTTTCATCGTATATAATGTTTAATATTTTTATTAACAAAATTATGCCCACTTATATATAAAAACATATTAAATGTCAACTTAAAATGTGCTAAGCGTTGACCAAAATCAGAGCCATTCTCCATAATTTCGAAGGTGTTTAATCACACTGATTCTGGCACTAAGGACAGCAGCTGGAATTGTAGTTTTCTTAACCCTTTGAAGCTATCCATTTTTGTCTGCAAGTCTTACAAAATCTCTTGTAGTTTTTGCATTATAATCTTGCTGTTACTAGTGGCTTTACCCAACAATTGTATTAAAATAAATGACGATAGTTTTGAATCTGGAGTAGAGATTCTGTTTGGTTTGCTCACAGATGGAACCAAGTAAGTTTAGGTGAAAAGGTACAAATCAAGGCTTAGACCCCCTTCTGCCTCTGTGTGTATTTTGGCCAAATAGAGAAAAAAGAATTAAATGCCATCAACAGTATGGTTATTGAAGTGGGAGGGACACATATGAACCTATGTTAAGGGAGAGCATCAAGATTGCTTTGCATTGCATTTCTAAAAGGAAAAAAAAGTTTAAGATAGTATGACATTTTTCAAAATTCTCTTAGGAATATACAAGCAATAAAGTTAGAAATTATAGGTCTAGGATTTGCCAATGGGAGTGGATGGCTCTAGTTGTGTGGAAAACAAGATTACTAGAGGACATAATGGGACTGAGTATTGGAAGGCTTGTTTACTTGGATATTGATATCGGAATCACGGTAGGAAGAGTGTCAAAAAGACAAGCAGAAAATCCAGTGCTAAAATCGTCAAGGAATGAGGAGTAATCCAGAGGTCTATAAATGACTATGAAAGATAGGTTATCAAGTGGAATACTCTGACAACATGAGCTTCAAAAGAGTTGGTGAGTTTTAGGGAGGAGAGAGTGATAACTTGTCAGCCAAAACGAGGAACTGGGAAGTTCACTCTACATCTACATTCTTGGGTTATATAGTCTGGAAAAGAAAATAGCTCCCATTTGAGAGGGCAACGGGAGAGTCGATGCCCTTAGGAGATGCCATGTTTTGGTGAAGGGAATGTTCAGAGAAAAGGTTGAAGATACGGAGCTTTTGCTGATGATGACCCTTAAGTTTAGGAGTTTGGGGGCATGAGGAAGGGTATGAGATTGAATCAGCTGAGGGGGAATGGCTGAGTGGTGGCCTGGGAGTCTTGGACTTATGGATGCCAACACAAACAGGGGTATAGGACATGATAGGATTAATCAAGGTGGTCTCTAAGGCCAATTATCACAGCCAGGCCATGAGTACAGGGAGAGAGTAGGCAGGTAGGCTTGAGGGAGCCTTGGCAAAAACATGTAGATCTCAGTGGGTCTTCCTGTGAGACATGATGATATTGGTGCTGAGGCCAATAAAGGGGGGATATCACTGTGGAGGGGGCTCTGTGGGTATCCCCTGACAACTCTGCTCATACTCTTATCTTCCATCTTAAGGCAACAGTACAAACCTCTCCCTCTCTCCCTAGACCCTTATCCCACTCAAGTCACTACCACATTTCTCTGTTCCCATTCATTGTAAACCCCCTCCAAAGAGTTGCTTATACTTTGTCTCTCCTTCTGTACTCCCATTTCTTTCCTTAACTACTCCAGCTGGGTTTCCATCATCATCACTCCAACAAAACACCTTTTATCAAGTTCACCATGAATCCTTTCTGTCAAAATGTTCAATTCTCCATCCAATGCTTTTTCTCAGTAGAATTTGACACCATTGAGCCCTCCACCCTCTAGAGATTTACTTTCTTTTCAGGCTTCCAAGACATCACACTCACAGGGTTTTCTTCTTCTTTCACTGGTTGCTCCTTCTCAGTCTACTTTGCCAGCTCCTCTTTCTCGACCAGAGCTCTAAATATTGCAGTACTCCAAGTCCCAGTCCTGGGATTTCTTCTCTTCTCTTTCTTTTTTAATTGAAATATAGTTGACATACAACATTATGTTAGTTTCAGGAGTACTACGTAATGATTTGACATTTACATACATTATGAAATGATCACAAGTCTAGTAACAATCTGTTCCCATACAAAGTTATTACAATATTATTGACCATAGTCCTTATGCTGTATATTACATCCCTGTGGCTTATTTATAACTGGAGATCTGTGCCTCTTAATCTCCTTCACCTATTTTGCTCCCCCTGCTTCCCCTCCCTGCCCCCACCCCGTTCTCTCCTTTCTGGCAACCACCC